GCAGTTTGATGAGAGGAACTCACACACCACCTCCTACCTCTTTTTTATAAGTCTAAAGATCTATTACCTCCAAAAGAGGCAAGTCATCACAGGGGTGAGGCACCTTTGATGAAGTGTGGGTTTGACAGCTTGTCCAAGAAGATGTATCAGAGCTCTCATCTGGAAATAATTCCCTAATCAGAGTTAGAGAAAGTTATTAATGCTTGAATTGACCAAAAAACTCCAAGTCACAAGGTAGATTTTATTTATAGGTCGGAAGAAGGATCATTTTAATTGACAGCACACGATCAGCACAAAGTCACAGACTCATAACCACATTACCTGGTGATTATGTGGTGGAAGCATCATTCCCCCCAACTCCACCTACACAAAACGTGAGATTTGAAATCTAATCTAGGTGGGCTGATGGGGGAGGGGAGAGTAAGGCCCCAAGCCTCTCTGGGAGGGGCAGCTCCTCTCAGCCAAAGGCGAGGGCAGTTCTCTGGAGGAAGCTGTAGTAGTTCTAAGCTTGAGCTCCTCTACTCTGAGAGGCTGCGGGAGGGCACACTGGCTACGAGAACTCTGTGGGGAACCAGCAGCCTCAGCTGCTGAGTAGAAATGATTGATCACCAAGTCCTAAATCCTCAGTTGGAACAAATTTTCCAAGACCAAGCTTTGACCTTGTCAGCACTCCAGAATCTTTTATCTGGTACCTGGATGTGCTATGATGGAATTTTCTATCCTGTCCTGAGGTGTTTGCACAGTCTACCTCTGTGGGTGTATCTCTGAGGGTAACCTGGGTTAACCCAAGGATGTGGTCTGGAGAAAACCAGGATGGGGTGGATGCAGGGGACAAAGAGGCAGCAGCGGAAAGATTACAACACTAGAGCCTACTGTACCATCAAGGACCTAAAGCATAGGGAGCTAAGCAAAGCAAGTAGCCAGTGGACAAGCCACAGCCACGTCATCATAGGGGTATTGACTCTTAGGTACTGGCAGCTAACAGCAAGCTCATGGATGAGACACAAAGCCTAAAAGGTACATGTACAGACCAGAACAGGATCAATAGACAGAGATCGGTACCAGAAGAGGAGAAAAGGCAGAAGATGAGGCTGGTCTGTAAGAAAACAGACAGGATCCCATCCTGATTCTGTGCTGAAATCCCAGTAGGTTTTGTTGCAGGATCTTTTCCTTAGTGCAATGTTTTTATATTTGTTTTCTTTTTGATTATCTTCTTGTTTGGTTTATAATCCCGACCTTATCAAGATGAGACCTTAAAGATGTCACAGTATATTTGTTCTTGGTGTATGTTTTCTCTGTCTCAAGGAAAAGGAAGATTATCCATGAGCTGGATCAAGGTTGATTCTCCCAAGTGCCTTGGTTGCCACGGTTTTGTTCTTTGCTGTGTTAACCTTTGCCCTCATCCTAAACCCATCCCAGTGTTCCCAAGGAACATTCAATTCCCATCACTTTTCTAGGAGAGGAGGAGGTCAATATTCTTAGTGGAGTGTATTCTACATACCACCAGATTTGGAAATATTTTTTTGTCCAGACTTGCACAGGGTCCCCAGCTCTGATACTGCACAACAAAGCCAGACCACACTTGACCCATGTCTACTCAGGACTCAGGGGCATTCAGGGTTACCAGGTTCTCTGCAGGTACTAGTTGTGGCTGCTATCTTGCCTTCTTCGTACTAAGCCTATTTCCAAGGGACTGGGTACAGATCAAGCTCTTAGTTGATCTGCTTTGGACAAAATTCCTGACCTGCTCCTACTCTACCTCTTACTTGTTTTCTCTGTACAACTTAAACCCCGCCCTTCATGCCTGCCCCCACTGCTTCACTGTGTCCATCTTCCTTCTCCCCTGTTCTTGTTTTAACAATCCTGCTGTACTCCCTACTGCCCCTCCATTCTAGGATGGCTAGGACGGCCAGACTGGATAGACTGAGACTGTATCATGTCCCGGGAGAGCTCAGAGCAAAGCCAAGGCCACTGTAAAGACACTGGCTTTTACCCTAGGGAATTAGAGAGCCCTGGAGGGTTTTCAGTTGAGAAGCGGATGCGGTCTAAAAATGACTGAAAATCATCACTCTGATGGTTGTTTCAGGAACAGATTGTGGTGGGGGGTGGATCTGCAGACAATCAAAATAGCTCTGATTGGGACGATGGAGCCCTGATACATGGTAGTCACAGGAGAGGTGGTAAGATGAGGTCAGATCCAGATGTATATTTTAAAAGGCAAAGTAAAAGGATTTCCTGGAGTTTCGAATCTAGGATATGAGAGAATGAACGGAGCAAGGCTGACTCCACAGGTTTTACTCTGAGCAATTATTTAAACACTCACATACTATTTCAGGGAATCACAACTATTCCAGACATTATTCTAAGCCCTTTGCCAATCACAGCTCATGTAATCCTCGGAACAACCCTATGATATAAATGTTACTAGCATCCCCATTTTATGGACGAGAAACTTGATGTACAGATTGCTTAAATGACATGTGAATGTAATTGCCATTAGCTGAGAGGGATCGTCTAGGAGGTGAACAGATTGGAGCAATATAAGGAGTTCGCTTTTCTACTTTTCGAGATCTAGAGAACACTAACCACCCACCTATCCAGGCTCAGTCCGCCTGTGCTTTCATGGTACACATGTCTTACCTGCAAGTGTTGTATTAGGTACTGCAGGTTGGCACAGGGCTCCCACAGCTTGGTCTAACTCTGGAAATAGTGGTATGATGGGAAATGTTTCCCAGTCCCTTGGAGGGGGGAGTAGGATTTTCTGAGTATTTGCTGATTTCTGTGTAAATATTCAAATTCAATTTCAAACAATGTAATTTTATTGAATGTGGAGTTTGAGAGAGATGTATACAGTCTCCCATCAGCTGCACCTTACCACTAACTGGAACCTTTATGATAATTTTAAAGGGTTAGTGACTATCTGTCTACCTATCTATCTACCTATCTACCTAGTATTTGGGGCCCCTAAATGAGGAGGAGAATTTATGGTTGGAGACATGGCCAAAGCAGATGGGAAAAGTAATTTAGACTTGAACTAGAGGTTGAAGTATGGATGATAAAGCAAGAATAGACAGAATAAAGCCAAGGATGTGGAATTATGAAGGGACTACATAACTGTAGGAGAGCTCAGAGGTTGAAATAACTGATTCTTGGCTGATGGCATGAGGGTCCAGAGCAGAGATGACCAGGATGTAAACTGAGGGGACTCCAAGGCGGGTCGGCCAATCGGGAGTCTCTGGAGTAGGTAAAGGAAGAAACTCAGTCAGTGTAGAGAAGAGGCATCAGAGGACCCCGAGAGCAGGCAACAGCAAACACACTCAAGCTTGGTGTGACCACTTCTACAAACTGTCTGCCTCTGTATCTCCAGGAGTTCATTTCAAAAAATATTTTTGATGCACTGTATCTGGGTTGAGTCAAGGAACTATGTGCTTCTTAAAAGCTTCCTAAGTCATTTATAGATGATATCAGGTTTGGAAACCTGGTAAGTACCAAAGACAGAAGGAGTCAGGATATCAAGGAATCCCAAGAGCCAATAAAAGTCACCTAATTATGAGATTAGAGTTTAGGGTCAGGACAGCAATGCCTGAAAGGAATAGGACCCAGATAACAAGATAACACAGCAGCCAAGTAGCAGGATACATAGGTAGGAGCTGATGCTGAGACCTGGGCACGAGGACCATGTGAGGCATCCTCAGCAAGGGTTCACAAGGGTCCCAAACGTGTCACCAGGAAGTTCTTAACTTCTTGGCAATGGGTCCAAGAGAAAAATGTATTCAGGGAAGTGACATGATCATTTCACTTTCACAGAAGGATGGTGGGCAGAGTGCAAAGAAACAAGACTAGAAGTAAGAAAACTAACCAAGGGGGAAATCAAACAAAAGATGATGAAGGCGTGAACAATGGCTGTGACCATAGGAATGGAAGAGTGAGGTTGGTTTTAGAGACATTTCAGAGTTAGAACTGCCATAGGATATCTGATTGGATATGGAGAGGGAGGGATAGGGAGAAATGGAGGATAATTCTCACATTTCTGGATAAAGGGAGAGGAGGAATAGGGAGAAATGGAAGAGGATCCCCACACCTCCAGCTAGGGCGATCTGGTAAACAGCATGCTGCAGGGAGATAAGCACCTAAGAAGAAAAACAGAGATGAGATCAGGACTCTTGGTGGCAAATAAGAGGAAATAACTCAACTGGCTCAGACAAAAAATGGCTTTTCTTGTTGCTTGGAATCAAAGAAAGGCTTGAACCAGCAACGATGTCGTGAACTGTGGTAGCTACTATGCTGTCTTCTCAGAATGTATTTTCATATCCCTTCTAATCACAGTCTCCAGGTTTCGAGTACAGCTATGTCTGACATACTCACAGACACAGGAGAAGTGGATGAGCAAGGACTGGCTGGTCAGAGTGCCCCACACTTTTGGCCAGAGTGCCTAACTCAGAGGTGGTCGTAAGACGTGAGCTTTTGAACATACATGTCAAGGTGTATAGATACGTTATAGTTTTTTACCTGTTTCAGATACTTGAATGCACATTTCAGGTATCTTCACAGAGGTCAGAATGAGGCATGGATCTCATAATACTTTAGAAAGTATATTAAAAATGAATAACCAAATCACTGAAATCAGAGACATTTTGACTTGAGAACTAACACTACCACTGATGCGCCGTGTGGATCTGAGCAAATCACCCTTTGAACCTTGCTCAGCCTCGTCACCCATCAGATGGAGGTAATAATAGCGTGTAACGCACCCAGTTGGTCTAAGAACTGAACAAAATAATGCAGAGAAGGGTCTTCATGCAGTCCCTGCCTATGGTAAACACTCCATAATTATTATTTATCATTAGTATCATTATCCTCCATCCAGAAGTCTTCATTTTAGGGCCCTACTAGTGACCTTCTCTCCTGACTTGTTTCTACCCCCCCCAAGCGCCTGCCAGCTCTCGTCAGAGTGCCCATCAGCACACCCCTGACCTTGCCCCACTGTCCTCCCACCACAGGTGTTGTGTTGCCTCCCTCTTACCCTATGAATCCATCAACTGGAAACACTGTTGAAGAAAAACCACACATTCACACCAACAAGCAAGTGGAGAGACCATGTACGTTCACAGGCGGGCACGGTAAAGATTATGTACACGACAGGTATCATGGCTAAGCCCTGGACTCGAGGGATTTTATATTTTTGATGAGTAAAATCAAGTAAAACTTTTAATTAAATGTGATACTAGGAGAAGTTTTTGGTCTCCAAAGATGGAGAGTTTAAATTACCTCAACAAATGAGCCCTTTGACCACACACACTTAAGACAAGTCCTTTGTCTGTGACAAAGTTGCAGTGACCTGTAGGCTGAAGTCAGGTGTTGTGGTTTGATCAGTCTCCATGTAAGGTAGAATGAACTCCATCCCTGAGAATATTGACATCCTTTGTTTATTGTTATTATTGGTTGACTTGTTTATTTGATTCTGTTTTGTTTGCTTGCTTGTTTGAAGCATTGAGAATCACGTGCAGGTGATGAAGCCCAGAAGGCAGAAGCTTCTCTGCTGAGAGACCCAGCAGGAGCAGAACGACTTCAAGGCCCAGAGGACATCATGGTGAGGAGAGACTTCCTCCGAGCTTCTTCTAGAACTAACGGTGCCCAGCGCCTCAGGAGCTGCAGCATTTTGAGCACAGCGGTGGTGCCACATCCATCAGTCACGGCAGCAAGAGGTCTTCTTCTGACGGCTGTGATGCTGGTAGCTGGTAACCTAGGGAAACTAGAACAGGAAAAGAAGAAGATGAAAATGTCACACGGGCCCCATGATCACCTGGGAGGCTTCCCCTTTGGGGACTGGCAGACGTAATTGTGGGAACTTGGATGCTGAGGTCTTGTAAACATACTGCAGGAGGCATTGTAATTTCAGCTTTAAAAATAAAAGAGGTCAAATTTTATATAAACCAACTGGTGAGGACTTCTTTCAACCTCCTTATATTATGAATTTAAAACATGAGGTACAAACTCCTTAGGTGTCTTGACCAAGATAACCCAGGAAGGGAGAATGACGTATGCATCAAGATTTTGAGCTATAGTATGTTATAATAATATAGAGTAAAAACCTAAAAGTTGGTTTGAATATAGAGAGTAAATATCTTCCTTACCATTCGTCAATCCAGAATCAGAACTGTAAGTAAAGCCAGGTGAGAATTTATCGGAAAACAGTAATTCTCCCAAATACAAGCTGCAGCCATAAAAGGCAGTAACAGCCCAATTCTTGGGGTGACCATGGATTTCATACTGAGAATTCTTATTGTCTGAAATCACGAACTATCAGAAACATTTCTGTTTGACATTATTTCAGTAAAGATAAAACACCAGAGTCTGGTCTGGAGGAGTTTAATCATTGTGATACTCTGAAGCAGCCTTGACTGGCAGTCCATGTGCAGAGTTTCAGCAAGCAGGTCTTGGACACAGCATTTGACATCTACGTTAACTTTGTTTCCAAGGAAAACATAACTGTGGGTTCACTTCACAGGCCAGAATTGATGGTGGCCCCTTTACACACAGCCTGACTTTTCTTGGAGCCCATCAAAACACCACCTCGTTTACACTGCACCTAAAGGCCACTCTTGCAAAATCCCATAGTAACTCTTTTTTTTTCCTTTCTTTGGTGAAACTCCCCATGGTTCCTTGGATGTGCAGTCTCCCACATGGCAATGAGTCAGTAAAGCTGACTTAGTTGGTGCACAGGTTTGTCTCTGGTGGTCTTAGGCTGATTGAGCTAAGAAAAGACAATTTCTTATATTTTATTTTATTTATTTTTCAAATTTCTTATATTTTAAATGTCTACTCTTAATTATCTGTATTATATCCTCTTCCATATGCAGAAGTAACGAAATAATCTAATTGCAAAACAGAAAAACGTTTATAGCTTAAACGTTTCCATGCTATAAACATAGAACGTTCTTGAGATCAAAGAGGAAGAAAATCAGTCTTTTAAAAATGAAATACACACATATTTGGTTTTCTTTTGCTTTCCCAAAACCCAGCCTGTGCCTCTTATAATACAACAGTGATCAATAAAGTGTTTTTTCTCCTTAGTTGTATGACTGAGCAACGCTTAGTGACAACAACCAACGTCACTTGAAAGATACTGAAAAACTTAGAATACTGAAGAATTTCCACAACCTCCTTCACAGTCCTCATTCTTAACATATGACCTTATTTTCTACTTCACAGAGAATTAGGAAAAAATCAGAAGGGAATGTACACAAGCCTCCAGCACATCTTCGCCACCTCCTGAAGCTGCCCACGTGTACTTGTTCCTGTGTATGACCTTCCTGTGCGTCCAACAGGGAGGCCTCCCTCTGCTCTGCACTAGGATCGCATCTGCTTGCACCCACACAAGGACATTGTTCCAGGAATTCGCTCCTTTCTTCCCCCTGGTGGCCCACCCTCAAGACAGCCCTGGATGATCCTCAGTGCTTGGTACCTGCACCGTGATGCAGTCCCCTCTCACACTGAGTCAGGGATGGACTGTATAACCAGCAGAATTCTGCAGAAGCCCCAGGGTGTGACTTCAGGTGCCAGGTCATAAAAGACAACGGCACCTCTGCCTTCTTGGAGTTCTCACTGTGGGGAAGCCACACCATGACATGGGGCTACTCATGCAGTCCTCTGATGAGGCCTGTGAAGGGAAACTGAGGTCTCCCCCCAAGCAGTGAGGGCCAACGTGCCTGGCCCATAAGCAAACCTCCTCAGAGGTGGCACCTCCAGCCCATCCACATCTTCAGGTGCCTGGAACCATGGCCAGCATCTCCATGCAGTTTTGGGGGAGACTCTGAGTGAGAACCCCACCCAAGATGCTCCCAAATTCCTGACCCACAGAAACTGTGAGAGAGGACAGATGTCCAGTGTCCCCCAAGGCATTGCATTTGGGATAATTTGTTATGCAGCAATAGATAACTAATACATCTCCTGTGATCACAGGACTTGAGCTGCTCCCCATCTTTCCCAGAGGAAAATCCAGAGTCCCCTGTAGGCCTTATGAGGCCCCTCCCATCCTGTTCACCCCATTCTCACCACCCCAGGTCCACCCACGGTGACCTCCTTCTCTTCCTCAGAGCCCTGAGATGGGCCTCAGGGCTTCTGTCCTCACTGTTCCCTCTCCCCTCCCCCCCACCAGCCATCCCTCAATGTCTCCCTCTCTGGGAGGCCTTCCCTGATGACCCTTCCAGAAACACAGCTCCCCACATACAACCACACCCACATCCACACACATTTGTCTTTCTCCCTCCTTTATTTTTTCCTTAATACATCTTACTATTTAATAGACCACATGTACTGTTTATGATCTGGCTGCCCTCATAGCTGAGAGCTGAGCTGGTATAGGGATTGTTGTCTGTCCCCAGTGTCTATCACACTGCCCAGTTTACTGTACATCCGCCATAAAGATGTCTTGGATGAATGCATGAATGTTAAGGATGAAGGATGCAAAATTAATAGTACCTTAAAAATGCCTGACATAGGCCTTTGTGATCTGACTGCACTTTATAAACCTGCCTCTAAAATTTACCACTAGTTTATATAGCAAATATACAGGTCCTTAGAATCTGCACCTTTTGTTTCAATCTTGATTTTCTTCTAAGTTCTCTGTTTTTTAACTTTTATCCCTATTATTATGTCCTCATTCTACACTGCTTCAAAGACTTCATGAAATTAATATAAATAAATGAAAGTAAGTAAATAATGTTAGTGTTCTCAGAATAGGTGATTAAAACTATCACTGGTTCAGTACATTAGAGAATTGTAAACTTTTTAAGGAATAAAGATCTAATTTTTTGTGAACCCTATTTTTAAAAGTCAACAAAAGGTAATAGTTTTATTTTTCCTTGAGGTAAACTTTATTGTGAAATAGTTTACATGAAAAATAAACTTTGGATCAGGACAGGAACATTTATTTTTAACAGTTTGCCTCATCAATTCTCAGTATCACAGTGTATTTTTTCTAATGTCAGGTTATTCTTGGAAAATTTTGTTTGCTTTCTGGATATAATAAAACTCTTCTTGAAAATTATTTGTGATAAACTGATTCCTTCTTTTCCAAAGAGCCCAGGGAGAGTTCTTTTAAAGACTACAGTGGATGATTACACTATCTCGTGAATAAACAGGTTTTTTCTGCCTTCACACAATTCATAATTTCTCATTATGTATAGAATCCTCAAATTTGGGAGCAGGAGAGCACACCCAGTAGGATCCTATATGATCATTTAGCAACTACTGGAGGGAGGGAGAGTAGCCTAGATTTTGGAAAGCCCTTACAGCCATACTTACCCCCAAAGAGTCATAAAATGATAAACATCTGTTCAATGATCAAAATGGGAAATAATTGGTTTTGATTCTAAAGGAAAGAATAAAGTAGTACTCCTCAGGATATGTTTCACTTTATAAGTACTTCTCTTATTTAGTGAATGGTTGAAAAATACAATCAAATAAAAATATATATATAGGTATATACCTTATCATGTTTATGTGATTGATATATTTACCTGGCTGAGGAAATAGTGTAATTGCCATAAAATAATCACAAAATTAATACTTTTGTAGATTTTTTTAAAATTTACTTATGTATTGAAGTATAGGTGATTTACAATGTTTCAGGTATACAGAACAGTGATTCAGTTATATATATATATATATATACACACACACGTATCTGTATATATTCTTTTTCAGATTCTTTTCCATTATAGGGTATTCCAAGATACTTAATATATTTCCCTGTGTTATACAGAAGGTCCTTGTCGTTTATCTATTTTATATATAGTAGTGTGTATCTGTTAATCCCAAACTCCTAATTTATCCCTCCCCCCTCCAAGTTTATTTTTTAGAACATCTCTAGATTTACATAAAAATTAAGCAGACAGGACAGAGTTCCCATATACCCTGTCTCTCCTCTCTCACAGTTCCCCTGTTAATAATATCTTGCATTAGTGTGGTACCTTTGATACAATGGATAAACCAATACTGAAACATTTTTATGAGCTAAAGTCTGTAGTTTAGAGTTCACTCTTTAGGCTAGTTCTATGGGTTCTGACAAATGTATAATGTCAAGTACCCACCATTACATGATCATACAGATAGTTTCACTGCCCTTAATCCCCTGTGCTTCACACCTTCATTCCTCCCCTGCCCCGCTTGAACTTCTCACAACTACCGATCTTTTTACTGTCTTCATAGTTTCGTTTTGTCCAGAACGTCATGTATTTGTAATCATACAGTATGGAGCCTTTTCGGATTGGCTTCCTTGACTCAGAAAGATGCATTTAAAGTTCCTTCATGTCTTTTTGTGGTTTGATTCTTTCTTTTATTGGTAAATAATATGCCACTGTATGGAGGTATTACAGTTTGTTTATCCACTCACCTATCGAGGGACGTCTTGTTTGCTTACAGTTTTTAGCAATTATGAATAAAGCTGCTAGAAACATTTGTATAGACATAAGTTTCCCTTCATTTTTTGTAAATACCTGGAAGGATGATTGCTGGATTATATGGTAAGACTATGTTTATCTTTGTAAGAAACCACCTGTCTTCCAAAGTAACCACACAATTTTGCAATCCCACCTGCAATGAAAGAGAGTTCCTATTGTTCCAAGGTGTTTCCATAATTTGGAATTGTCAGATTTTTGAACTGGAGCCATTCTAGTAGGTTTTGAAGTGTGATTTAATTTGCAAATGTTTTAACTTGTAATTGCCTAGTGACGTGATGTTGAGACTCCTTTCGTATGATTATTTGCCACTTTTAAAACTTTTATGAGCTACCTGTTCAGATCTTGAGTCCACTTTTTAAGCTGTGTAATTGGTTTTCCTACTGTTGAATTTTAAGGGTCCTTTGTATGTTTTTGGATACGAGTCCTTTATCTGATATGTATTTTACAAATGTTTTCTCCCGTATCAGCGT